ACATCACTCAACAATCAAGAAAAAGCCTCACAGACCTGCCCACAGGCCAGTTCAACAGAAGAAGTTCTCTAATTGAGAGTCTCTCTCCCTAGGTATGTCAAGTTGTCATTTGAAGCTATCCAGCACAGATGCTAACCTTCCTATCAAAAGACATTTCTTTCCATTTATTTAAATGTTTTAGTAGGCTCTTCCCAACCTGTCCTTACCCCAGCTCCACCCAACCTAAGGCTCAAACCCAGGGCCTTGCAACATGCTGGCAAGTGCTCTACCACTGAGCTACATCCCCAGCCCTTGTTCTGTTTTATTTAGATAGGGTCTTTGTAGGTAGTCCAGACTGGCTTTGAACTAATGATCTACCTGCCTCAGCTTCCAAGTCCTGCCATTTGTTTGGATCTTCTGTAATCTTCAAGGGTGGTTCTTCCGTCCTTTATTAACACCAAAGATAAAATTATATGTATGCATCAGGGTTTTTTGGTCAAGACAGAGGTCTTATGTAGCTGAGGCTGGCCTTGACCTTCTCATCTTCTGTACATCCAGAGTGCTGGGATCATAGTCATGCAACACTATATCCAGTTCCACACATCTTTTGTGCATTTTTTTCCATTACATATTCCAGAGATTTGTTGGGAAACCCTGCTGTTAGGGTTGTAGTTCTCCATGTCCGGATAGCCCTAAGGGGCTCGGTGCCAAATGGAAGGATTCCCTTTTTCAGCAGGGGGCCTCCTGCTCTCTTCCTGGATTACCTGGAAAGTGCCACCAAGCATGGATGCCACACCTTATTTGGAACATGACCTTTTTCATAGTTACCTGGAGTAAAAACTACCCCTAGGTTTTTTCTATATGATAATCAGGCATTGCCTGATAGTCTGGAAGATAGGAGCCCACTGCCACATGTAAATAAAGCATACTATGAGAACCTATCAGCTAAGGCTTTGGCTACTGCCTCCACACTATAATTTCTCTAGTTCTCCCACTGAATAAACGGAGCTGTTTCACTGTGTCTGGAGCTGTATCACTGCTGTTTCACTGCGCCTGGGACCAGCCTCCCCGGAAGGGCTTTCTTCCATCAGTGCTCACTGGCTGTCCTGACCCCGTTTGTCGCTTCTGCTCCCCCTGCCCTTGTGGGCCAGTGGCCAACGACCCGCGAAGAGAGTGAGAGACCCCTGCAGAGATTCATTGCAATACTTTTGTATCTTGCTTCCCACTGAATTCTGTTGTTGTTTATAGCAGGTTATCAACAGATTTTCTTGGGTTATCTAAGTATATAATAATACGATCTGACTAGAACCAGACTTTGATTCCCTAACACATTTCTAGATTACCTTCCTTGTCTAGATTCTCTGGCTAATCCTAGGATAATGTGAAGTGCTTACTGTTACAGTGGGCGTCTCTCTCAATAATGATTAATAGGACCATCTCTGGGCTTTCTCTGTTAAGTGGAAAGCTGGTTTGGGGGCTGTGTGAGATACTAGTTATATTTTATCTTATTAATGAATAATGTTTTAAGTTACATCATAATTGAGTATTTAAAAAATTAAGCATAGAGCTAAGCATGGCAAGCCTAGTGTTCAGGAGGCTGAGGCAGGTTCAAGGCCAATCTGGGTTACATGGTGAAACTGTCTTAAAAAAAAATCTAGCACAGGTGTTAAATTTTGTCAAATGTCTTTTTAGTATCTGAAAGTCACAGACTCATATCTGTTTTCCATGAATAAATCATTTGGATTTACTTCAAAATAGTAAGACTGACTTGTTAGAGAGATGCTCAGACTTTTGAATGCTATATTAGGTATAGTGTGAGCATGATGCCCCAAGGATAACAATTGTGCAAATACATTCACTAGCCACAGAGCAGTATGGATTCTCTATGTTTACTTAATTTGATTTTTGTGAAATTCTTCTAAATGCTCTAGATTTGGGGTAAGAAAAGGTAGGATATCAAAGCTATCAGAGCATCAGTAAAGGTAAGATATGAAGAAAGAGGAGGGGGAGGGGAGGGGAGGGGAGAGGAGGGGGAGAGGAGAACAGGGCAGAGGAGACAAGAGCAGAGGAGAGGGGAGGGGAGGGAGGAGGAGGGAGGGGAGGGGCAAGAGGAAGGAAGGGGAGCTTTGTCCACTGTCCCACTTAACACTTTACTACTAAAGTACTCACTTGTTTTTAAAATATTGAATATGCTTGGCTATGCCAAATTAACTGTACTTCAGTAATAATTACTGATCTCTTTTTTTTTTCAAACAAAGTCATTTGCAGCTGTTAACCAGCTTCTGGTCAGAATGTGCTGATCAGAATCACCAAGCTGAGTAATGTACTTTTAGCCAAAAGCACAGAAATGAGCCTCGAGGAAGCTTATTTTGGATAAACAGATCATTCTGGAACAGTTTTTGAAATGCTGAGATTAGTTTGCATAGAGCTTGCTTCTTTGTTTCTAGATATTTCTAATGCAGAGTTTCAGTGAGGCCCTCAGACAGTCCAGGAATCTTCTAAGATCATTCAAGATCTTGTGCTGAATAAAAAGGCCAGGGGAAGGTGTATACTTAAACCATAAGAAGCATGCATACCTATCTCCAGGATTGATCTAGATCCTTCTCTTAACTCTACTAGAGGTGCTCAGTGATGTTTTCTGATGAGTTGGTTTCTCATGTGAATAATTCTCTGTTCTAAGAAAAGCAAAGAGTAAAACAGAACATTTGTAAGGATTAATAGCTAGAATAAAGTAAAAAAGGCTTTTCAGCAGTAAAATTGGCTCTTCTGCTTGCAGCAAGGGGATTCAGGCATCAGTAACTTTTCAGGCTGCTCTGATGGTTCCAATATGTAGCCAGTGTTCTAGGACCTCCCTGCTCCAAGTGCGGCCCTCAGACCAGCAGCACTGGTATCACTGAGCACTTGTTAGCCATACAGTCTCAGGCCCTTCCTTAGACCTTCTGAATCAAAAGTTGTACTTTCACCACATTCCCAAAATATTCATGTGCACAGTGGAGCTGCAGTGTTTCTTAAAGTCTGAGTCCTGGACTACCTGCATGAGGAGGACTGACACTCATCTATGTGACAGTCGCCTTCTGGCCTTGAGGCATCTCCCTCAGTGACTCAAAAGGGTCAAAACACAGGAGCTGCAGGTGAGAGATCAGCTGGTGCTGATCTGCAAATGCCCAGCTGGACAGCTGCTACAGGTGTTGACTCTGCCAGGATACCTAGAGTTATATCTAGCTTTTGGAACGACATGGAGATGAATCCATTCTCTTGTGTTAATGACTGAATAGGCTGCAATTTTGATCCAAATTCTCTACCTTAAAAGCAGTATTAAAAATATAAAGTGCTGATGCTCAGATAGATGCTCAGATAGAGTTTAAAAAAAAAAAAAACACCCTTAAAATGCAGAGTGGAGCACCAAGAGAGAGCAATCCTCTAAGGACATTTCTTCATCTTACAGAGTTTATTTTTTAATTTTAATTTTTAAAATTTTTGCTCAGGCTTAGATTTTTAAATGTTTATGCGAGTAAAAAAGTAAAGCCAGAAATGGAAAATTTGACCTTTCACAAAGATGTGTGTATTTGAAGTGTATATTTGTAGTTTTAAAAGCATTTACGCTCACTTAAGATATTTAAAAGCTTCTCTGACAACAAATGTTTTAAGTAGGCTTCTCTTCAAATATGTAGGATTCCAAAAAGGCTCAGAGGACTTGGGGTCACAACTGAGTTGTTTTTTTTTCTAGTTATAAAGTGAAATAAGAGTATAGCTATTGTAATGGACAGTTGGGAAGGTGGACTGGAATGTGATCCAAATGACTGAATTAAAATCCCAAACTCTTAAAATTGGAATAAAGACTGGGGGGCTTTGTTTAAGTTTTTCCTTTGGTAATTTTTTAAAAATGTTTTACTTTTTATTTTATTTTAAATTGAATTTTTGTGTATTTCATACAGAACAAATATTTCTTAAATACTGGAGAGGGGATGTGCAATGGGGTCACTTAGAAAATGTAAAGGAGAGGCCCAGGGGTGTGGTGGAACATGGCTGTAATCCTGGCACCTGGGAGACAGAAGATCTGAAGTTCAAGGTTACCCTTGTCTACATAGGACGTTCAAGGCCATCTTGGGTTACACGAAACCCTGTCTCAAAAATAAAATGTTTTAAGAAGAAAGAAAAGGAGGCCAAGTAAGGTGCTGCATGCCTTTGATCCCAGCACTTGAGAGGCAGAGGCAGGTGGATCTCTGTGAGCTCAAGGCCAAGCCTGTTCTACACAGTGAGTACCAGGCTAGCTGGGGCTACAGAGAGAACCTGTCTCAAAAAGCCCCCCCAAAAGGAAAATAAAAGGCAATAATGGACCCATCCCTAGAAGCATGTGCCACGTGTGAGGATGCACACACACAGGCAATTCTGGAGTTCCACAGACAACCAGGAGCTTGTGTGGAAAGCAATCATGGGCCCCACAGTAAGAACCTCAGCTTTGACGGTGCATGTTAACATAGTAATAAATGTTGCACTACACAATTTTCTCCCATTTTGAACAGCTTGAGATCCATGAAGAACTTTCAGCATCTAGGTCTTGGGTGGGTAGTTTCGTCTGCAAGCTTGTGGAGGAGTCCAGGCCAGATGAAAAGCGAGACCACTGGAGGTGCCAGGGAAAAGGTCCCTTTATAGATATAAGAAAACACTTTCCTTCCAGAGGCTCAGCCACAGGCAAGCTGCCTCAGTGGTTCAGTTCACACCCAGAGGAGAAAACTTATATCAAAAGTTGGGAGGCAAAGCGGACTCAATACTATTTACGACCCTCATTTACCTGTAGACTCAAAAGAAGTCAGAGGTGGGAGAGACTTGCCTCGCCCGCTCCAGCAAAGGAGGAACCCGGTCCCAAAGGATTAAGTTGCTTGCCAGGGTGATTCCCTAGCCACGCTCACACCCGGGCTGTCTTGGCAGTGCCTCGCCCCTGGCCAGCGGCACCTAGGGGGCCAGGCCCGCGCTCCCACCACCTCCCGCCCAGCCCGCGGGCTCCGCGAGCCCTAGCCTACCGGCACCATGGAGTAGGTCATCATCATCAGCATATCCTGGCTCTCCGCGCGGATGTGCGGCGTTGGCTCTCCGCCGTGGCTGCGCTTGTTGCGCGCGGCGCTCGCGGGGTCCGGAGGTGGCACGGCCGCTCGGCGTGGCGCGCGGCTCAACTCGGCCAGAAAGGCGCGTAGGGCGCCGTCCTCGCGCTGCTCCCGGCCGCACTGCGCTTCCAGCGCCCTCAGCGCCGCGCTAAGCCCACGCCACTGGCACAGCGCGAACACCGTGCCCGCGGCGTTCAGCACCGCCAGCACCGCCAGTGCCGCCAGGGCGCCGCGCAGCCCGCAGCCTGCTGTCCCGCGGCCTCGCTCTGCGGCTCGGGTCATGTCTGCGGGCTCCGCCGGGCCTGGCAGCGCGGGGCAGGAGTCTGCCTCCTCCCGCAGTGCCGGGCTTTAAATACGCCTCCGGCCGGCGGTGAGATGGTGCCCGAGCCGGGAGTTATGCCGCCGCCCTTGGACCCGAGTGGCGAGGCGGATTGGGGACAGTAGTCGTGGCGCCCCGGCAGCCCAGAGGGACAGGAGGGCAGCGAGGGGGTGAGGAGCTAGTGGAGACAGTGTGGAGGAGGGACGGCCAAGCAAACAGCAAACAGGCCTCTCCTCCTTTTCCTGTTACCCGTGGGCATTGCCAGGGCCCAGACAGGCATAGCCAGGGTCAGACTGAGGGGGAGGGCAGAATTCTTAAAGCCTGAGAAGTTTCTAGATTCCACCCTCCTTCTCCCTCCACAGCAGAAAATCATCAGCATGCCCAAACGCCAAGGCATGTGTCACTGTTGCTGGGAGGTCAGGGCTGGGCCCAGTTCCAAGCTGCGGTCACCCTTTCCCCAGGCCACCGTGTGCCCACAGAAGACCCCAAGAAATCTTTTCCAGAAGAGGGACAGGTAGGGACAGGGAAACAGTTGGTATTAGAAGGTTAAAAGGCCACCCATCAGAACCAGAAAAGCCAGGCCTGCCTAGCAAGGAGGGTCACCCCCCCCCCCAAAGACTTCTGGAATATGGCAAGCTAAGAACTTAAGAACTGCCCCATGAGATCCAAACCTAGGAGGTGACAGAGTGATAACTAAAAAATTATTAATAAAAGGGATTTTAACCCAATAAACTATGGGAAAGCTGTCTAAAGAAAAGAAAAAACTCCCTCCCTCCCTTTTCCTCTCTTTTCAGTGCCAGAGATCAAACCCAGGGTTTTGAACATGAGTAGGTAATCCTTGCTTTTTTAAAGATAGGATTTCACTATGTAGGCTAAGGCTGGCCTTGAACTTAATCTTGCTTCAGCCTCCTAAGTGCTGAATTACAGGTGCACACTATGCCCTAGCATCTGAGTTATTTTGAGCATGTCCCCCAAACATACTGAGGTTCTTCCTAGCTGAAAAGCTGAAGAGCCAGGCCAGGGTTGGGACCTTACTTAGGCTATCCCATTACCCTTTCACAACAGCCTCACTTTTCTGTTGGCTCAGGTGCCTGCCCTGTCTCAAGAGTCACTATCCTGTGCCAGTTACAGTGGTAGACATCTGTAATATCAGCATTCCTGAGGTTGAAGCAGGATAATCACGAGTTTGAGGCCTGGATGACGTAGTAATATAGTAGGACCCCTGTCTCAAAACTCTTCCCCCAAACCTCTGTCTCTTGAACTTCAAAGCTTTCTCAGGAGACCACTTAACTCTCACTCTTCACCAGCTTCTCTCAGAATGGCACCGCTTTCCTAGGAGCCCAGGGCCTTCAAGAGGCCCTAGTCATATGGGAAGACTCAACCAGAAGCCAGAAGATTGCTGCTTCTTCAGCCTAATGGCTCAAAAAGGAAGTGGCTCTCTGCTGTTAGGGCCCCTGGAGTAGTCTCACTTCTAGTACAGGGGCCATAACTGAGCAGTATTGGGGGAAGAATAGGATGATGGGGCTTCGGTTGTAGAAAACAATGGAGCTTTGTAACCATCTTGCAATCAAAGATTTCATTCCTGTTCTTGCTAGTCTTCTTCCTGATGCAGGAGAAGATGCTCAGGTGGGATTCAACTTCTTCACTTCCTTTCAGGGTTGCTCAGGGTAGCACCTCTGGAAAAGCACAAGAAGACTGAAGTTCCATCTCTACCACAAACCCTGTGTCCAAGTTTAGATTCCTGAGCTTTGTAGGAACACTGGTCAATTAGAGTATTTTTAGAAGCTACCAGAGATAGACTTAGGAAAGCATAAAGGTCCTGGATAAGGAGACATAACACCTTGTAGGGGGGTGGGGGGAGAGGGATGGCAATAGTGTCAACGTCTAGTTTCTCTCAACTCTCACATGCTACAACCTGTTTGAAGAATTCTCTTGCGTCCTACTTTCTTTTCTAAATCATGCTAAGATTAGGGCTAATCGGGAAGAAGCCACCGAGAGGCAGAGTTGGGGCTCAGCACCAGTAGGCTTGCCACTTAATAACCATTTATTGAACGCTTACTGTGTATTGGTCTCTGGGATGGTGCCTTCCGAGATTTTTCTTTTCTTTTTTTTTTGAAAGACGGTGTCCCTGTAGCCCCAGCTGGCTTGGAACCTACTATATAGACCAGGCTGGCCTTGATCTAACAGAGATCTGCCCACTTCTGCCTCTCAAGTGCTGGGATCCAAAGGTGTGTGCCACCATGCCTGGCTGAAATTTCCTTTATCCTAACATCCATTAGAGCTACTGTGGTCCATCTGTCACCAATACCATCAACAACAAAATATAGGACTCATGAGGTCAGGTGACACATTTTGCTGGAGCCTGTCATTACTATCAGGTATCATTGTCAAAATGGTCATTCAATAATTATCTGATGAGTGAATGAGTTAGTGAATGAAAGGCTTGTGAAAGACATTTCTGTAGAGAACAAGGTGTGTGTGGTGTTGGTGGAACTTAACAACTGTTCCTATGCTGTAGAGCTGGCCCCTTCACCTTCCTTGCAAGGCTTTCATCACTGAGGGAAGTGTTGGAGTGTGAGTGATAGCCTGACACACACTCTCTCTTCTAGGTCAGGAGCAAGGCTGGAGACAGAATGGAGATGAGGATCCACCAGACCACCTTAGGCCGAGAAGCCACCCGTCTTGGGACATAGGACTTAAAAGGCTTGTGGCATGGCCACTTGAGGGCCAAGTGGATGGGTGTGCTGGATAGCTGCAGTTGTCAAGTTGACATACCTGGGAAGAGGGAACTTCAGTTGGGGGGAATTTCCTCTATTGGATTGACCTGTGAACATGTCGATGAGGCATTTTCTCATAGAAATTGATTGTTGAGTAAGCTAGGAGGGTTCAGTCCACTGTGGATGGTGCTACCCCTGGGCAGATGGTCCTGGCTTGTATAAGAAAGCAGGCTGAGCACAGGTCTGAGGAACAAACTAGTAAGCAGTGTTCCTCCATGGTCTGTGTTTCAGTTCCTGTCTCTGCCTCCAGGCTCCTGCCCTGCTTGTTGCTGCCTTGGCTTCCCCTCGGTGATGGACCGTCACTTGGGAGAGTATGATGCAATAATTCCTTTCTTCCCCAAATGGGTTTTGGTCAGAATGTTTTATCACAGCAATAGGAAGTAAAGTAGGACAGTGGGGCATATGGGATATATTGCAAGAGGGCTAGGAGAGGGGCAGAGGAAGGGTAAAGGAAGGACATTCTCAGATTCTGTCTTAGTTTGTTTCTGCATTGCTGTGACAAAACACTCTGACCAATACCAACTTGGGGAGGAAAGGGTTTGTTCAGCTTACATCTCCCAGGTCACAGTTCATCAGGGAGCCCAATGTAGGAACTCAGGGCAGGAACTTGGAGGCAGGAGCTGGAGCACAGGCCATGGAGGAACGCTGCTTACTGGCTTGCTCCCCTGACCCCTGCTCAGCCTGCTTTCTTATGCAACACAGGCCCACCTGCCCAGGCATGGCACGACCCACAGTGGGCTGGGCCCTCCCACATCACTCATCAAGAAGATGCCCCTCAGACATGGCCATAGCCCAGTCCAATAGATGCAGTTCCCCAATTAAGGCTCCCTCAACCCAAGTGTGTCAAGTTGACACTAAAGCTATCCAGCACAGATTCCATTCCAAGTCTTTCTGTTTAGGATTATGGCATTTGAAAAGGAAGCCGAGTGGACATGCTCATATCACCTGCGAGATGTGTCCAATCATCTCTAGCCTCAAGGTACCTCTTACTTGTTGCCTTGCTCTGTTCTCATTTCTGTTTTCCGTCTGTCTTCTGTCTGTGGCTGCCTTGCCACCACAGTGCCATACATCCATTTTTCTCCTTCATTGATCTATCTCAGTGCTTCCCCTTCCTCACTGAACCTTGCTTTCTAATACCAGCCCCAAGTGCTCCCTCCTCCTGAACTCTTCAAGCCTCCTTAGTACAGCAATAATGAACCTGGACTTTGGAATCTGATAGATATGAACTTGAAACTGCTTTTTTAAACTGTGACTTTAGGTATCTTAACTTTAAAGAGATCACAATGGTTAAGATTTCATGGGGAATTGTTTGTAAAGTACTTGGCATATGGCTATTGTTACTTAGTATTGTTGCTGTGGGCTATATGGACTTGTGAATACTAGGCTCTGTGTTGTTAACCAGTGCTAGTTACACTGTAGTGCACTTAGGTAGGGACCTGCCTTCACTTTGCCCTTCATAGCACAGATTTGTACTGAGTAGGAATATGTTGATGCTTTCTGAGAACTGAACTTTTAAAGTTCTTTAAAACATTTTTATTGTTTTTTTTTGTGTGTGTGTGTGTGTGTGTATACATGTGTATATACATCACAGCATATGTGTCAAAGTCAGAAGACAACTTGTAGGACGTTAGCTCAGGTAGTCAAGCTTGGTGACAACTGCCTGTACTTGCTGAGTCATCCCACTGGCCTGGAACTGAACTTTTAAATGCATAAACCGAGCTTTTGTCCAAGTTATACTGTCTTCAAGATTGATTATATGGGGTCCTTCATTTGTGGATTCCTAAGCTGCTTCTTGAGATTTCTTGAGAGGCAGATACATCTACATAATGTGGCCTGCCTCATGATGGGCTGATACTGTCTACTTATTATTAATAAAAAAAGATGTTAGTTATCTGCCTTGCTTTGTTGACATAGAAGATTTAAGATATAGTGGGGACACAGAGACATACCTGAACTTCCTCTTCTGGAGACCAAAGGAGCTGAGAACACCATGTGCTACTTTACAATGCGGAGCAGTTTTTCCATTAAAAAGAGCAGATACTTTCTTTCTGAATGTAAAATAGTGTAGTCCCTACAAGTAAGTTCTTGCTAGCTGACTTTAGGGCTTGGGAGAATGAAATCTAACTCAAGAATGTACTCCAACTTTCATTCCACAGCATTTTTCCCTGATTGTGAAGTGATTGATTTTCCTTTCATCCAAGGTCTGGTATTTGAGTGTTTTGATCTGCTGTGATGAGGGCTGGCACTGTACTGTGACTTCTGCACTTTGCTATCTCCCTATCTCTAGCTGTTCTTCCTGTCAGTGATTAGGGAGTCTCTCTGAAAGTTGTCACTGTGCATAACCTCCACTGGACCTCTAGTTTAGTTTTCACTACTTCTATTTATTTCTTTATTTTAGAGGCATGATTTCATGTAGCCCAGGCTGGCTTCATACTCGCTATGTTACTAAGGATGACCTTGAACTCCTGATCCTCTT